TCTTTCTGAATTGTTTACACAAAAAAATATGGAAAAATTATGAGTGTATTATGTGAGCCGATTTTTGACTTTTCGTCGACGTTGTCTCAAAAATGAATGCGCTGATTTCAAAAATTTTAAAGCCATTTGATGAAAGTCAATAAAAACTCGCAATTATTAGTTTTGTGAGACAATATACCGAATCATTTTTTAAAAATAACAGAAAACTGTAAAAATTTTGACAAAAAAACTTGAACCGATTATAAAAATATAAAAGTTTTTCAAATCGTACTGATTAGTTTTTTGTAATCAGTCAGACCCGTGTTACGTTTTTTCGTAATTAAATGTTGAAATTTATTTTTCTGACGATTTTGATGAAACTTTGTTGGATGACAAAGTCAATAGTCTTAACAAACATCTTTAAAAATTTAAAAGCCATTTGATAAGAGTCCTTATCGATAAAGTTCGATAAGGACTCACGTTGATTAGTTTTGCGACACAAAATTTTTCCTAAAATATTATGCGGAAAGTGGTTTAATTATAAAAATTCAGTCATGTTTGGAATAATGGACAGTATTAAAAAAAGACGATAAATCTCAATTTTTGTTGGTTAAGTCGATTATGGGACTTCGGTTAAGCCGATTTCGGGAAATTTTTGCAAGTTGCCTCCAGCCAAAATACCACTTACGCTTAGTTCAGATGTGTTTTTAATCATTTTGCCCACTAAAATATGTATTCTGTAGAGTTAGGTATTTGATCATTATTAATTTATAACTAATTTCCCCATTAGGTTTCCTCTAAATACGACAAATTAGAAGTTGCGCAGTTTTACAGATGTGATGACAAAAAACGACGTTACGGGGCTTCCTTTCACTCTGGATTAGATGTCAGGTCAAAAGCCATTTTAGCCAGTGCTCTATTGCTAATTGTATGTAATTTCAAATCTAATTATAAGTCAACTTTCTCAATTGCCAAGATAACATTTTTATTTATTTTACAGGATTTGTTGACGTGCCACGTATGTTAATTCAAGAAACAGCCAATGTATATTAGCTATTGATAAAATAACATAATAAACAATCGGTAGAATAGCGGCAGTAAATTGTATTAAGAAAGATTATATAAATTGTTATTTACTAAGATATAAAATAAATAAATTATTAATTTTATAAGTATTTAATAATTGCATTTCTATCACTAAGTTTCAGTGCATCTGGATATTTTTCTATAGTAAATAATTTAAGATCAATATAATTTAAAGCAATTATTTTATGGCTAATGTGTGATATCTGAGCGAGTTTGTTAATAATTTTGAATTTCTTATTAACTTTCCGTAGGGTAAGTTATAGTAATTGCAAAAAAAATGAAAATGAAATTTTTTTTATATCTTTATGTTTCAAAACCTCCTGAACAATATAAAATCACTTAGAAAAAAATAATGTGATTTTGTATGTGTGCGTGTGTGTGCATGTGCATTTGGGGATGCAATTTTTAGTCGACGCTTTCGAGAGCATGGATAGTTTAAAAAATTCAACAAAAAAAGATCATTAGACATATGGACATGAAACTATCAGATATTTTATAGAGATTACAATAATAAGTACAAATTGTGTTTAAATTTATATGGGATTTGTACCAAGATTTATAACTATTATGTTTAATCGTTACGGGAAGTTCCAGCAATTCACTTTTGCACGATGCTATGCATCACTAGTTATTATTTCATCTTGCTGGCGGCCGTGCTTATTAAATCATTAAATTTAATAAAAATATGAATAAAATATCTAAATGGTCACAAAAAATAAATATATGTTTAAGTTACATATTTTTAATCGAATCTATACAATACCTAGGGTATTACAATATTAGAATAAAATATATTCATATAATATAATATACATTCATATAATTCTATATAACTTACAGAAAAACGTATTTCGCACAATTTGTTCAAATCATAGTTTCCATGAAAACAAATTTTAACTCCAATCAAATTTTGGGTGACATAGTAACCAAATTTTTTATTTCAAAATTTTTATTTATAAAGTGCTGTGTAATAAATATATTAAAATTTAGACTCATGTAAAGCTAATCGTATTTATAATACAGAAATAGAACTATAGAGGCAAGGTAAGATGCTATTATATTAGGTTTTTATTATTTTTCTGGATTTTTGGACGTATATTTTTTTATAAAGTATAGACATTGGAGATAGTAGACCAAAACTTACATATACAGAAAATCTGAAATATTATGATAATGCCGTATGCATGATAGAAAAATAGTTTTTGACAAAAACGTGCATTTCTTTTTATTAGCTAAAACTCATTTTTCCAAAACGTCAACGAATATTATAATACCAATCAGTGAAATACATATCGAAATGTGAACATCGATGTAATTAATTACTTTGAGAGAATACATTTGCATACGCGAGCCTAAATTCGAACTTTCGTAAACTAAACGGCAGCACCGATTTCAAACATTTTAAAGCCATTCGATGAGGATTCGCGTTGGTCACATTTTTTGCAAAAATTAACTAAAAATGAAAAGTTCCAAAGAATTTCACGTTTTTGCAAATCACCTTACCGATTTTGAAAATTTAAAGAGACATCAGTTAGAGATTGTGCTGATGAGTTTTTGGTGAAAACTGACCGGACCATTTCTTCGTAATTGATTGTTGTTTTTTTATGATTTTGAAGAGACACTGCATGATGTCTTGAAAGTCGTGGTTTCCAACCCGTGGAACAAATATTTTTGAAAATAAACCAAACATGCTGAAATAATATAAGAAAAATAAATGCATAAATATGTTTTTATGTATTTTTTATGTAGCCCCGTTTCGTCAGATTGATATCAAACACACTGACTAAAAAATAAATTTGATAAAAAAATAATTTTTAATATTTATAATAGTAAACACATATAATAAATTAAATTAAATAAACCCTCTCACGTACGATCTTTGCTGCAAGGTTCGTTTTCATCGATATCAGATAGACTATATTTTTTTATAATTACTCCCTACTAGTTATGTATCATTGATTATCCATTATCCATTAACCATTATCTTTTCCTATGCAATTTTTCATAAATTATTGATTTTGTATAAAATAATTCTGTTATTTGCTCACCTTGAATAAATTTACGCTATCAATTATATATAAACACTAATTTAAAAAAAGTTTAAAAACAATTATTAACACTTTGTTTTGGTATTTCAAACTAGCTTATACACACAAAAAAATTAGTTTTGATTATAAAACGGGGAGGAGACATAAACTACTGAGAATTCGTAACTGTAACACATTTTGTAGTGTTGCATTTTGCCAATAAAACAATAATTAGTGCTGTATCGTGCCTTAAGGCAAGTTGCTGGAACTTTCCGTACCGTAATGAAATATAATATTTATAGGAATTATATAAACTGAATTACAAAGTTATTTATTTAAAGTATATCAGTGAGCTTCAGAACTTTAGCCAGAAAATCTGAATTATTTTTGGTATACAAAAAAAATTTTTGAAAAAAAAATCAAAATAATTTTTTTCCAAAAGCAATTGTCAACATAAGCAGAAATTTTTCTGAATCATTCAAATCGGATGCTTAGTTCTTTCAGAAACTGCAATTTTTTGTATATTGAGTTCTGTGTCTTCAAATTTGCCTTTACCAAAAACTAATCACCACTTCTCCTAATCATTACAAATAGAATGTTTTTGGATCATTCAAATCGGATACTTCGTTCTCTCAAAAACTCTTTAACATTTATATTTTATATTATTTTTTCTGCACTCTTTGCTCCGTATTTTCGAAACAACTGGGCCTGCCTTTGCCAAAAACTAATCAGCACATCTCCCTATCAATAACAATCGAATGTTTTTTGAACCATTCAAATCGGTTGATCCGAAAACGTGGACGAAAAAATGCGGACACACAAAACATACACACACATAAATTTTTCCGAGTATGCCGAAATGTTTAAAAACGTCCAAAACTTGAAGTGGAAAAATTTTCTTTTTTTTACGGGAAGTTAATAAATTCGTAAATGCTTAATAAATTTTGTTGGAAAAAATATTTTCAAAAACCGTGTAAGATCGAAAACGAGTAAAACAAATATTGTGTAAAATGGAGATTAGGTGTATATCAAAGTCGATTACGATCTATGTTAGTGATTAAAAATTTAAATTGATTAAGGCAAAATTGAACTTTAATTGAGAGAAATTAAAATCGGTAGTAGCTACTGTTCTAATTAAATATTCAGGTTTTATCAATTAAATTGAATTTTCCATCTGCGAGAAAATGCAACGAGCTTAAAACCTACCGGCGTCATGTATAGATGTCGTATATATCGAAAGATATTCCACGCGGGATGCTCATTCATAAACCGACCGTTGTAGCGAACGGTCGAAGACATACAAAATCGAATCCCTTCAGGAAACGTGCACACGATCAAACAAAACATACTATTTTAATTTATTTATACATGCTTACATCATTTTAGACATATTGATAAATAATAATATTTGTGATTTTAGTGTTTTAATTGTGTCCTGAACAAAAAGAAAGCAGACTTCGAAACTAGTTTTTAAACAGTGCGCATGAAGAGTGATATAAGAATAAGTTGCATTTAAAATTCTGTGACTTGATTAATTGATTCCAAACGCAAGACTGATTTTATAAATTAATTGATCTTCAATTTATATCATTACCGGAACATTTGGAAATCGTGACATCCATCGTGAAATAATATCAAATATTATGATAGTGCTCCAACAAGACACACTAAATCGTGTTTTAACTTCCACAAAAACTCGTAAACAAGTCACATAGAGAGACTGCGTTTGATCTGCAAATATTGGATGATATACCGGAACCGAGTAATGTACGAAGTCAATTCTACGATTTTAATCTGATAACTCGGATCCTGAACAAACAATGATAAAAACAAACATCAAGACTGTCAGTTCTCAGATGAAATATCAGTGTTTGTAAATTTAATACCTAAAAACTAGTTCCATTAAAAATGTCTACGGATAGTTTTGCACCTTTGCGTAGTCCTGGAGAAGGACCCGTAGCCGTCGAGGCTAATGACTCCAGAGACCTTACAAAAAATGACAACAAATTGCGGTGCGGCTGGGGCTATTTTAGACCTGCGGCCCTCCAGAGGTTTACCACTGCCAAATGGGCACTATTCTGGCTGTGCTGTGCTTCGACAATGCAAGGTAAAATAAATATTAGAATTCTTGAAATGATAAACAAATGAAAATATTGCTTTAAGTTTTGGAATTGTTTTATTATAGACATCAATGTATTTATTAATAATTTGTTTTAGTCGTTTCATGAGATATTCTATACAAAACATATCTGAACCAAAATTAATATCATGCATAGATGATTTTTCTAATAAAATTTTTAAGTTTAAATTAAAAAATTGAAGTAGAGTAAGTAGTGTTTATTGACACAAATGCTATAAAAATATTTTAAATAAGTTGTTTAATATTAATAATAATAATATCTATATAATAAACTTATACATATAAAAAAGTGTATGTAAAAAAGGGAAAGGGAATCATTGATTTGTGGTGCTCTCAGGCCATAGACCTGCCTTTGGATAGACTACCATTTATTATTATTATTATTATATATCCAAACTTCGTATGGAAATAGCATCAAAAAAATTTTGAAAATTAAAAAAAAAATTTTAGGTTATTTATTTTAGCGACAAATGAATTAAAAGTGAAAATTTGTGTCATATTTATTGAAAATTCGACGCTCTACAATTTTTTTTTAATTTTTTCGTGCTATTTTCATACAAAACTTTGATTGAATTGCGCTCTATCTAAAAGACAATATTAAGAGCTAAAACTTTCAGAGAATTGTTTTTTTATTAATTTGGAACCATTTGAGCCATTGGGAGCAAGAAAATTCTAAAATGTCCATATTAAGAACCACCCTATATATATATATATATATATATATATATATATATATATATATATGCAAGAATGAATGAATTAAAGTTTAATGATGAACATCAATTTATATAATTATATTTTTATATAAAGCAAGGTAAAAATTTTGGGTAATGCAGTATTACCTATGATGAGTCCTGTAAATAAACATTTATATGATGACTATATTTTTTAATCTATTAAAAATTCAATTTTTATTTCGAAAACATTTCAAATTTATAACATTTTAAATTTTATTTAACATTTCAATCCAACATTGAAATGCATATATATATATATATATATATATATATATAAATTTGACTAATGCAATTTTAGAGCATTAACAAAAGATACAAACTTTTCTATTACATAGAGCTTAAATTTGAGCTTTAAATAATATGTGCGTCAATGTATACAAAACGATTTACCCATAATTAGTAGGATTAAAATAGTACCAAATTAATTGCAGTATATTGAAATTTTGAAATATAATGCTATATATGAAAATTCAAATATCGTATTTTATCTTTTTAACCAAAATATATAAACTAGAAAATGTAAATATAAAATATTACGTTGATGTAAATTAATTCTAAATTAATATGGCAAAGTGTGATAGCTTTTTATGTTCTTTCCTCACATAATTTGAAAAAATAATTATTTTATATTTTTCCATTATTAATTAATAAAAGTAATAATACTAATTAATTATGTGATGTATAACAAACATTTTATGATTTTTATTCCGATGACTATGAACCTATCATTGAATCATATTTTTTTTGGGTGTAATGATAGACACAAATATTTAGAACATTTTTGCACTGCATAATTTTCTATCATAACACAATTTTTACCCATATTCTTAACTAAATTTGAAACGCAATTTTCGGCACGTCTTGAAATTCCGAACACTTCAGTTGGCTATTTTTTAATTATTTTAATAGCAGTCTTTGGTAATCGTTAAATTATTATTTTTTTTGCAAAATATTCTCATGTGAAAAAATTTACTATCACTTTATTAATTTTTAATACAACGTAAACACTTTTACATATTTGTCATTCATTCTTTTCCGAAACTCTATTACGTATGTTGTGAAATGACAATTTTTTCTTACAAAATGGTGCCTAATATTTGAGTAAATGATTTAGCTCATATACTCTGCTTTCGTAGTTCTACACTTCTGTGACCGTCAGCAAATTAAGAATTATTGACAAAATTTGACCCATATTTAGATTATTTACATTATCAATTACTAAATTTGTTTCAACTCCGAATAATACCGGATTTTTTTAATCATTTGACCTGTGTGCATAAGTGAATCGGCTAAAGTTATTAATTTGTAATATGATTCCTACGAACCCGATACTCTAAATCACATCAGCTTGTATAACATTTTATCTGCTCATGTTTATTTATAAAACGTATGTTTCTGTAATTGCCATTAAATATTTTTATTGTTTTATTTATCATTGTCCACAAACTGGGTTTATTGCTCTTCAATATTCAACTAAAAAACAACTGTAAACAGAAAATCAATGTGAAATTATAGCTGCGCAATACATAGGGAAAATAATTCATGCTCTCATCATTAGATCATTTCAATCTTGGATTGAATTCATATCATCATACATATGTTTTTCTTCTTGATGCTTCAAATTTTAGACCGTGAAATAAACTTTGTGTTATTCTTTATTCAAATATGATATTCATAAATTTTCCTTTTTACAATGATTATTTAATAAAATGATAAAAGTCTTGAAAAAATCACCATCTGCATGTCTTTCATGATCTTCTAAATAGTATTAGCTTAATCGACATAAGGACTGGTGTCTAATTTTGTGATTTGATCATTAATAAGTTGCATATTGGAAAGCAACTAGTTCCATATTTATAAATTTGTTATTTGTGTTTAAAATAGTTTCACATTTTGTCCAATTTTCCTATATTCGCCAATAAGATAATGGGAAATTGAAATTCATAAGACAAACTAACATAAACTGTGGGTGTAGTCTATTTTACAAAATATAAGAGCTTATAAATTGGTCCATAACTTTCATATATGTTTACATGAAAAGTAAATAAATAAAACTTGATCAAGTGGAGTTAGAATGAAGGATTTATCTTTTTAATTTTAGAATTAAAATTAAAATCTAAATCATTTTTGATATTCAAATTAAAAAAAAATGGCGAAATTTTGAAATAACTTTTTTTCTTGGCTTTTCTCAAAATTAATCGGTTCTTCATAAGCACAATGTTTTTTGAATCATTCGAATCGGATCCTTTGTTCTCTCAAAACTGTTATTTTTTACACTTTTAGATCATTACTTCTAAAAACTCATCACTTCTTCTCATCATTACGAATTGAATGTCGGATGAGAATGTCGAAAGAAAATCGGATGCCCTGTTTTCTTAAAAACTTAATTTCCATTTTCTGCACTCTTTGGCTTCGTATCTAGAAAACTGCTAGACCGACTTTTCCCAAAAACTAATCAGCACATGTCCCTATCAATAAAAATCGATTGCTTTCTGAATTATTCAAATTGGTTGAAAACGTCGACAAAAAATTGTATCCACACAAACATACACACACATATATCAATTTTTTTTGAGGTGTACAAAAATGTTCAGAAACCTCTTAAATGTGAATATATGGAAAAAATTGCACTATTTTATAAACTTACCCTACGAAATATATGATCTCACAAGAAATTGTTGAGAGTAATTAATTTTCAAAAGATTCGCAGACAACATAATCCAACTACTTCAATTGGCAACCCTTTCTAATAATTGGACGACGCAATGAAATATTGGCATTTTCCGAAAATAATTTCGGACGGTGGAAACAGCAATGATTTGTTGAATTCATTAAATTTAACCTTTTATCAATATTAATTAAAAATAAAAATAAAATCTGTAATTGTTTGTCATCTGTTTGCCCTTTGTCAGCTTCAATCAATCTTTCAGAACGTCGCGCATCTTTGACCTCAAGAAACGCCTCATTGAAAATTTGCAAATCAATTATGACACTGAAGTACAGCAATATATTTTGCCCATACAAATAAGATAATTTATGTCTAGATGAAAAGTAGAATTTGTAGAAATTACTTTTTGACCCCACATTTAAAACGACAAGTATTACACCGTAAAAGCAATTAGACTTTTTTACATATTAACACTTCACGTGTGATGTTTATGCACCTGAGTATATATAATTAAATCTTTCTTTGACTTAAAAAACAACATAATACATTCAGCTTTTTATACCACAAATATTTTTTCAGAAATATTTGGATATTATACACAAAAAATCTATGCTGGAAAAATATCTATTTTTAGTCATCACTAATTCCTAAATATTTTTTTGACCTTATATTTGTCCTTAATTATTACAATATTTCTATCAAATAGATTTGTTTTTTCGTAAAAACTACTTCATAAATAAACATGCATTAAATCAGATTTCTAATAAGTAGTAGATCTCTTTTCGATAAATAAATTTAGAATAATTGCTTATTAAACATTTGCCGATTTTAAAACAAGTAAAATACATGCCAAAAAATATTTTTTCCACTTATTAACTTTTATTCCAACGTAAATTTATTAGAATAATATTCGAAATAACTGAAAAATAAATTGAAATCTTGTAATTGAAATCTATGTGTCAAATTTATTTTTGGCCATCAAACAACTATTTTTATGCAGTTTGATTCTGTAATTCCATACCAGTTTTTTCGAAAACCAATTGCCTTTTTATATTGTGACTAAAAGTTCTTCGAGGCATGACAAAAAATGGTTTTGTAACAACAATCAGAAGAATTGCATATTACATAGAGAAACCCATCGATCAACCACTTTTTTTGTTGGCGATATATGTGTTGCAGCAATGCCCACGAAAGGCTATTTTCAGTTGAGTTCATATTAGAGATTAACTCGATTGGTAATTTGATATCATACTACTTGATATCGAGCTGGCCGAGGTTAGAATCGAACCGTGCTAGTCCACGTTCTTAACCATTATACCATGACAGAGTGATAAAAAGTAGAATCCAAAATTGATTCAAACATAAATCCATAAAAACATGCATGCTAACATAATTTCTTACATAAGTCATAGGAATTGATCGAGTGCTTTAAACAAAAATTTGTTATTGGCCTTATCGTAGCAAATAATAAAATTATTATATGAATAAAATCTTATGAAGGAAATTTATCATTAATTGGGGTAAAACATTACGAAAACTTCGATTCCAATATTACTCTACAT